CTCTCCACTGTCACATAGGTTTTTTTTTTCTTATATTATCAATCAAAGTCAGAAAATGCTGGTTTTTAGGTGGGAGTCCGCATGTTATTGCTCCTGGGTACATTCTCGTTGAGGGTTTAGGTATCCTACCGGAAGGAAACCCTGAGGTAGACCCAGGATTCACTAGAGAGATTAGATCTCTTAGCTGGGATGGGAATGTGTCACCATTTCCCCAGATAACCTGGAGATGTGTAGGAGGAAGGAAGTCTCAGCTTCTCTGATTAGCCTGCTGTTGTCATGAGTTGTAAGTGGGGGGAAAAAAGAAATGGATGGGATGGATGGGAATTTTTAAAAAAAACTTATTCTGTGGAAAAGTATTCCCCATCAGTCTTAGCATCAGTATTCTGAGTATTTTAAGATTAGGTTTTAAGTTTCCTTTTTGATAAAGATACATTACTAAGTTATGTTGCAATAGGTGTAGGCTGCGGAGGCTTCCCAAGAGTGTTTCTCTCTTACCTTTTTCACTCAATATGTGTTTTTACACCACTCTACATTTAATCATTAATTATTATTCATCTCAAGCTCTCTTCCACACTGTCTTTGTTCTGTCTTCCTCCCATGATCCCCAACTTTTGGCAGCAGATTGCCCCAAATGGCCTGGTTCTGCCGGAGCTTCTTCCTGTTCCCCTGGAGTTTTTCCTTCCTACAGTCACCAAAGCTTGCTTATAGGGTGTCATATGATTGCTGACTGTTTTGTCTGTATTATTGTAGGGCCTTTACCTTACAGCATAAATCACCTGCAGGCAACAGTTGTGTCATTTAGGGTCAGTCTTTTTAAAGGGGCATGGACAAGAAGGAAATCAAACATGCTTCCAAGGATAATATCCTACCCTGGGAAATATATGGAAGCAGTTTAAAGGATGGCTGCAAAGTGAGAAAATATATTTGTCTGAGAAGCGATCTCTTTATAGTTAGTGGCCAGCTGATTGTGCCACTGGGATCTGTGGTCGGTCTGGTGAACTACAAATGGATCTGACTTAAACAGGCTCCTCTCCACACAGTACTTGTAGCTAACAGGTAGATTGTGCCATTTGAATGCTGCTAGCCAACAATGAAGAATCACTTACTGTTTAAGGGACAGCGTGAGGGTGGACAGTATGGCATTGTTTTTTAATATAAAACTCATTGCAGCACAGGCAAGACAGTTTTTCAGAGTAGGGCTTGTGTAATTTAGCTTTAATACTTGTAGTGTAGTGTAATATCCATTTCAATGGTAAATTATTGTGTTATAATTGTACCAGATTGAAAGGACTGACACAAAAGAACTGCTTGCTGAAACAGAAGCAATGAAAGAACTTTAGGTGCTGAAAGTGTCAGTTACAACAAAAGCTCTAAAGCTTGGTGACATGCAGTTCAGCTGAAAATCATAAATTGGAACTGGAAAATGTCCTAAAGTGTAACAAATACATACACGCAACAGATGACATTCAAGCATTTAAAGACACGGAAGCGCCGAAAGTTGTGCTCAGTGGCTAGAGGTGCCAGCTGAATTAAGCACTAATGATGTGAAATAATCATTTTCTTTTTGTATCTTTTAGCATTCACGCCTGGTATTTTCCATCTTGTTTACAACACCCTACATGTTTGACTAATCCTTCGTACCTTCCCCTTCTCTGACTCAGTCCTCTTTAACTTGTCTCTCTCTCTCTCCTCCTCCGTCAGGATGCTGCCACTCAGTTAAAAACACATTTGTTAACAGCTCCGTGCCAGTCTCAGCAACAGCTGAAAATGTGGTGGAAACAAACAGGAAATTAACACAAAACAGAGATGCAAACTCCAACAGAATGCATGTTCTGTCATATAGTAAGCAGGGGTGGACTAAAACAATAATAAAGGCTTGGGTGGTACACGAAGTGAAGCAAAAAACCTTAAATGACCTCACATCTAACCCAAAATTAGCCCCCAGTCGTGCCATAGTTCAAGCCTAAGGAACTGTGTTTCATACCAGGTCACAGAACAGGGAGTAACAGTTCTTTTAATATAATGGTACCATTATGTTTGTCCATTATATTAATCTACAGTAAACAAAAGCTCTAAAGCTTGGTGAGCAAGATCTCCATAGTTGTCCACCCAGACACTTAAGCTTATTGTCCAGCATTTAGCTGCATTTGTGGTAAAGCTGTTTCACATTTTTTAAATTATTTTCTTAACTTGCCAAGTCATGGTACATTCAAGGACCTATAATACTGTAAGTCATTACATTTTTTTCTGATTTCAATCTGGCTCATCTTTCATTCCACATCAGCTTCTCATGGACATCTGGACCATTTTTAGTATAGCTGCTATTAATAGATCACTTCATGGAAATCCTGTTATGTCCCCTTGTAATTGTGCATCTGTAATATGTGCTGGATTTTTTCCAGTGTGTGAAAACTGTAATCTTTCCACTTGATTAATTTTTGGTATGTTTACAAAGTTGCATGGAGCCAAGTGTGGAAAGAAAATGAATGAAAATGCTCACTGTGCTATCACATGCTGGCACGTACAACAGTTCAGACATTTCTGCTGACCTGTAGGAGCCGGCATTTTCAGTCTCTAATCCTTGAACAGTTG